AATGATGGGTGGCAGGAAGTGATAAGAGCTGATAAGATAACATAAGGAGCCTTAGAAGGGAAGGGCCACTAAATTCATAGCGCCGGCCACAGCAACGTCGGGACGTTGGTTCCAAGCAGTAAGATAGGGGGCAGGATGGGAACATTGGTAGGTGGCAGGAAGTGATAAGAGCTGATAAGATAACATAAGGAGCCTCAGAAGGGAAGGGCCACTAAATTCATAGCGCCGGCCACAGCAACGTCGGGACGTTGGTTCCAAGCAGTAAGATAGGGGGCAGGATGGGAACATTAGTGGTGGGTGGCAGGAAGTGATAACAGATGATAAGATACCATAAGGAGTCTTAGAAGCGAAGGGTCACCAACTTGATAACGTGCTTCACAGCGACGCTAGGACTTCGGTTCCAAGGAGTAAGATAGTGGGCAAGATGGGAACATTATTGGTTGGTGGCAGGACGTGATAACAGCTGATAAGATAGCCCCAAAAATTCGCAGCATAGTTGTAGCCACACTGGAGAATTGCCCGTAAGGTAACAATAGTAGTGGGAGATAAGTTCAGGTCGTGTCCGACAAGGGCTTTTAGGAGTCCGTATATGGTCACATCACCTTGGCCAAAGAAACTGTGGGCAAAGGCTTAGTGAGCCAAGATGTTTCTATCCCTTAGCGATATAGTCGGAATTGATTCGACCGCTAAACTCTCGAGTTTCGACAAAAAGTAAAAGTCCCAAAAGCTGCTTAAGGTATGTACTAGGATGTGAGGACATTTCACTCTGCGTCTGTTATTACCCCCGAAACTCTTTCAACCGCTAAGCTTTCCTATTTCCAACGAATGGCGAGTGTTGTCAAAAACGTGATAAGCCCAGTCATTGGCAAGTTCATTAAAAGGGAGAAGCACGATGAAATGGGCCGTATTCCGAAACAAGGGGATTGGGCCAAGTGTTGTGCTCAGCAGAGAAACCCCCTCAGTGACCAGTACCATGGGTTTAACCATGCGCGCAGTATTGCGCGTTAGCCAAACTGGTTAAACTTGAATGGGCAAGATGAAACTTGTCGATCCGAATTTTAAGAGAAAGCCCTCGAGCAAACACTGTGAGGTTTCGTTAACTTCCGCTGTTGACAAACAGATCCCGACAGAAGCAGCCCCCAGTTAATTAGACATCAAAGTTTTATGCTCATCGGTCATCTTGCCAGGGATTTCCTCATGATGATACAGCTCGGGGCGCCTGAACGACACCTCCGCAATAGAGCAAGCGCGACAAGGGCTCAGACTATGAACAACGTAGCTATCAGACATTGTTCACGGCTTTCGACTCCGGGAAATCGGCTATTGAAACGCATCGTTCATCGCAACGCAACTCATCGCATTGCAAACTTTCGTTAGAAACGCATCGACAGGGAGAATCGGAGACTGGGAGAGTGAATCCAGAGAAGAGTTGGATTCGAGTCGATTAGAAGAGCCCGCAAAACGGGTAGGCAAAGCACCAACTTTGCTCACTTTCCAGTTCTCAGCTTGGTCGGGATCAGCGGGATCGATACATATCTAACCCTTTTTGCGACGGTGTCAGAGCCCAGTCCACAAATACTGTTCGTTTCGCCGTACCTACGATTCGTCAGGGTCCTAGACTGCGCCTCGATGGCAACGCCTGTAATGGCAGTTAACTCGGTGACAATGCGCTAGCCCAGTCAACCATGTAACGACAAATTAAACCGCTGCTCAGCGTCGAAGGAGGGAAAAACTCACCCAGGCTCGTATGCGGCGCGGTTTTTTGACGTCACCGCGGCGGCAGGGCGAAGCGAAGGGCGATGGCCTGCGCCTCCGCCACTGTGCTCCAATCAGCAGCCGCTTTTATGTGGAAGGAAAAAGAGGAAAAAAAAGAAAGAGGATTGAACGATATATAGTGTAAAATGTGTCTAACATACATGTAGGATGTGTCGCGACAAAAAGGGCGGAGTTATCTGGGGGCGGGGCATGTAATTTAGTGCTGTCTCGCCA